CTCTATTGTCACCACTGTAGGTAGAAAAGTTATATTGAGTCACTGTAGTTTCATCTAGCTAATAACAAAGATTTGTTTTTTAATTTTTTTCTCGATAAGGGTCGGTAGTTCGAAAAAACTACAAGAGAACAAAAAGTTTCTAAATAAGGTAGAAAAACCATTTAGTTCTTCAGGATCTACCAGCAGCGCACTGCAAAAAAGTTCAGGGGCAGAAAAGGGCATATGACCCCTGGAAAAACATCACCCTGTATATTCTGGCAAACGTTTGAAATGTGAGATCATTTAGCTCCCATTGAGTGACCTATATACCAAATTTCAGCTAAATCCCTCAAAAATTGCAGGAGCTAAAAAGAAAAAACTCAAAAAATATTGAAATGTCAACACCCTGTAGATCGGTAACGAAGCGGTTGCGGACAAATGTTTATTAAAAATTTTAGTCATAAAATAAACCAAAGAATCACCCCTTTCAGTTTGGACCGTGACTTATGGGACATCCTCTATATCAGATGTGTCAAATGTTCAATAGGTATGCTTCTGAAGTAGATATTTATAGACATGATTAGCTTGAGGAATTTAAAAAAGAATTGTTGACGATAAATTAGTGTCTGAATCGAGGTCTGAATTTTTGTTTCAACTTAGTTTTAACTCTTGTAATTGGCTGTTTGTAGCTGTGGATACTTATGGTGTGAATAAATAAATAAATACTTACCTTAGTGTAGGACAAATAGAAGTATGATATTATCAAATTGGAAATCAGAAATGAGAACACTGAATAATTAAAAAATAAAGTAGGTATAGCATTGTATATACATGCTGAATGTACCAAACTTAAAATACCTACAGGTTAATTCTACCTAATTTAAGTAAGGCACCACAGTAAAAATTACAAATGTTTTAGCCACAAACAGAACGGATGCAAACTTGTATCCAAGCAAGTGAAAAATTCCAGCAAAATTATATCAAATCTACTTATGTGTGATATGTATCCTCGTATCTACCTAACAAAATGTTTATTGTACTGTGCATTCATTATAATTAGGTAGCGTTTGTTTATTCCAACATACATAATACGAACAATTTTAGCTTAAATCTCAGTTTAAATACTTAAAAATTAATATATTATACTATTTAAATCAAGATAAATACATGATAACAGGATTATTTATCATGATTTAAAATTTTACCACCCAGGATTTACCCATGTGAAGTGAGCTCCTTGTTGCTGGCAACAAGGAGCCAGCAACAAAAATTTTACAGTCGACCAGTTCATTACTGGTGATATTTATTTTAAAATGCAAAATCACAATATATCTTCTTTTAAATGGTTAAATAGTTTGAAATAGGGACAAAATACATTTCCCCAGGGTTATTTCACTACTTATTCGCCAATTTACTATAAACTATAAATTGTTGAAAAAATAAGTTGCTTTTTTATTTAACCAATTTTCAAGGTATTGTTTCACTTAAATTGTGATTGAATATCGAAGAGTGATTGAAAAGACGTTAAATGAACCTAGATTTAACCCCTCTACTCCTCTGATAAGGGCGATACCCAAATAAAATGTCAAAAAAATAGGATTTTTTCAATTTTCTCAAACTTCAAGGTATTGTTTCACTTAAATTGTAATAGAATATCGAAGAGTGATTTAAAAGACGTCAAATAAACCTAGATTTAACCCCCCTACCCCTCTGATAAGGGAGATACCCAAATAAAATGTCAAAAACACAGGATTTTTTCAATTTTCTCAAACTTCAAGGTATTGTTTCACTTAAATTGTAATAGAATGTCGAACAGTGATTAAAAAGACGTCAAATGGACCTAGATTTAACCCCCCTGCCCCTCTGATAAGGGAGATACCCAAATAAAATGTCAAAAACATAGAATTTTTCCAATTTTCTCAAACTTCAAGGTATTGTTTCACTTAAATTGTAATAGAATGTCGAAGAGTGATTAAAAAGACGTCAAATGGACCTAGATTTAACCCCCCTACCCCTCTGATAAGGGAGATACCCAAATAAAATATCAAAAACATAGAATTTTTTCAATTTTCTCAAACTTCAAGGTATTGTTTCACTTAAATTGTAATAGAATGTCGAAGAGTGATTAAAAAGACGTCAAATGGATCTAGATTTAACCCCCTACCCCTCTGATAAGGGAGATACCCAAATAAAATGTCAAAAACATAGGATTTTGTCAATTTTCTCAAACTTCAAGGTATTGTTTCACTTAAATTGTGATAGAAAGAGTGATTAAAAAGACGTCAAATGGACCTAGATTTAACTCCCTTACCCCTCTGATAAGGGAGATACCTAAATAAAATGTCAAAAACATAGGATTTTTTCAATTTTCTCAAACTTCAAGGTATTGTTTCACTTAAATTGTAATAGAATGTCGAACAGTGATTAAAAAGACGTCAAATGGACCTAGATTTAACCCCCCTGCCCCTCTGATAAGGGAGATACCCAAATAAAATGTCAAAAACATAGAATTTTTTCAATTTTCTCAAACTTCAAGGTATTGTTTCACTTAAATTGTAATAGAATGTCGAAGAGTGATTAAAAAGACGTCAAATGGACCTAGATTTAACCCCCCTACCCCTCTGATAAGGGAGATACCAAAATAAAATGTCAAAAACATAGGATTTTCTCAATTTTCTCAAACTTCAAGGTATTGTTTCACTTAAATTATGATAGAATATCGAAGAGTGATTGGAAAGACGTCAAATGAAACTAGATTTAACCCCCATACCCCTCTGATAAGGGAAATACCCAAATAAAATGTCAAAATCATAGGACTTTCTCAATTTTCTCAAACTTCAAGGTATTGTTTCACTTAAATTGTAATAGAATGTCGAAGAGTGATTAAAAAGACGTCGAATGGACCTAGATTTAATCCCCCTACCCCTCTGATAAGGGAGATACCCAAATAAAATGTCAAAAACATAGGATTTTCTCAATTTTCTCAAACTTCAAGGTATTGTTTCACTTAAATTATGATAGAATATCGAAGAGTGATTGAAAAGACGTCAAATGAAACTAGATTTAACCCCCCTACCCCTCTGATAAGGGAGATACCCAAATAAAATATCAAAAACATAGAATTTTTTCAATTTTCTCAAACTTCAAGGTATTGTTTCACTTAAATTGTAATAGAATGTCGAACAGTGATTAAAAAGACGTCAAATGGACCTAGATTTAACCCCCTACCCCTCTGATAAGGGAGATACCCAAATAAAATGTCAAAAACATAGGATTTTGTCAATTTTCTCAAACTTCAAGGTATTGTTTCACTTAAATTGTAATAGAATGTCGAAGAGTGATTAAAAAGACGTCAAATGGACCTAGATTTAACCCCCCTACCCCTCTGATAAGGGAGATACCCAAATAAAATGTCAAAAACGTAGGATTTTGTCAATTTTCTCAAACTTCAAGGTATTGTTTCACTTAAATTGTGATAGAATATCAAAGTGATTGAAAAGACGTCAAATGAACCTAGATTTAACCCCCCTAGCCCTCTGATAAGGGAGATACCCAAATAAAATGTCAAAATCATAGGATTTTCTCAATTTTCTCAAACTTCAAGGTATTGTTTCACTTAAATTATGATAGAATATCGAAGAGTGATTGAAAAGACGTCAAATGAAACTAGATTTAACCCCCCTACCCCTCTGATAAGGGAGATACCCAAATAAAATGTCAAAAACATAGGATTTTCGCAATTTTCTCAAACTTCAAGGTATTGTTTCACTTAAATTGTAATAGAATGTCAAAGAGTGATTAAAAAGACGTCAAATGGCCCTAGATTTAACCCCCCTACCCCTCTGATAAGGGAGATACCCAAATAAAGTGTCAAAATCATAGGATTTTCTCAATTTTCTCAAACTTCAAGGTATTGTTTCACTTAAATTGTGATAGAATATCAAAGTGATTGAAAAGACGTCAAATGAACCTAGATTTAACCCCCCTAGCCCTCTGATAAGGGAGATACCCAAATAAAATGTCAAAAACATAGGATTTTCTCAAACTTCAAGGTATTGTTTCACCTAAATTGTGATAGAATATCGAAGAGTGATTGAAAAGACGTCAAATGAACCTAGATTTAACCCACCTACCCCTCTGATAAAAGAGATACCCATTGCGTGTAAAACAATACCTTGAAGTTTGAGAAAATTGACAAAATCCTATGTTTTTGACATTTTATTTGGGTATCTCCCTTATCAGAGGGGTAGGGGGGTTAAATCTAGGTTTATTTGACGTCTTTTCAATCACTCTTCGATATTCAATCACAATTTAAGTGAAACAATACCTTGAAAAATGGAAAAATAAAAAAGCAACTTATTTTTTCAACAATTTATAATTTATAGTAAATTGGCGAATAAGTAGTGAAATAACCCTGGGGAAATGTATTTTGTCCCTATTTCAAATTATTTAACCATTTAAAAGAAGATATATTGTGATTTTGCATTTCAAAATAATCATCACCAGTAATGAACTGGTCGGCTGTAAAATTTTTGTTGCTGGCTCCTTGTTGCTGGCAACAAGGAGCTCACTTCACGGATATCCAGGATTTTCGATTTTTTACAGAACAATGGTTAAATTATAAGCGATTAATTTTTGCAAGTGAATAAAATAACATGCATACCTATAACTTGTTGCGAGTTAAAAATATTACATTTTTAACAACTGCAGTGTAGAAACTGGCTCCGTCGTCAGTTGTTGCACTACATATGAACTTAATATGCACAAATTTTACCACCAACTCTACTGACACAAAAGAGAACAGTAGGAACCAAAAATAATCTTAGTTGAGTCACAATGAAACTGCAAAAAATTACGCATTAGGTACCTATTTGATGTATTTTTAAGACTTTTCTTGTTTATTACGAACTTGACAATACTTCCGAATAATTATTATAGGTACTAATAATAAGGAATCTTTTGTTACTCGAGTTGTTTCTAGATAAATTCCTATTTTTTACAATATGAACATAACTAATTACCTTTGGCTTGGCCCAAAATGTATTTATCTATTTCTGTCTGGAATCTGTCACGGTGGATTATTATATTTCACATCTCATTTTCATAATAAAAACAAACCAAACAAATTTTTCACCTGAAAAATGGAAATCGAGCGAACTGTCAAAGTCACGCGCATGTTCCAACAAAGCGGTAAAACTGTAAAACGGGCAAGTTTTTAAAATCATCTTTAGCTGGGTTAGGTTCGGCTATTCAGCGCGGAGTTGGAGTGGAGTGAACAGAGCTAATGGAGTCACCCCTAATACGGTAAAAAGCAATACCCGAACCTTAACCCGAACGGCTGGAGTGCGAATGGAGTCACTCGGAGTGAGCAAGCCGAACCCACCTAATATAGCCGCTTTCCAGCTGACGCTTTTGAGCACGCAATCGAGCTTTTGCGCGCGCAAATGCTTCAAGCGCGTGTTCGTGTTCCAGCCGTACTACGCTTCGAGAGCTGCTAACTTTTGCGTTTCAAACACAGAACACTGTGCTGCACCGTGCTTGAAGCACACAGCTGGAAAGCGGCTTATGTCAAGAATCGTAAACTCTACAGGATTGCTCAATCGGCTAAATTTGTTCACAATTGCTGTGACATCACGCGCATGCCGGATTTTCAAGATGGCCGCTGATACGAATGATGTTTAGTTTGTGCTGACAACTATTTTATCGTAAATTCGGATTTATCTAGTGTTATAAGTGTAAATTTAAAGTTTCATTTAATGTGTGTAAGCATAAAAGACTCGTGGCTGAAAATACTCGCGAAAACCCCAAGCATTTTCTGGTTTTATAATACTGGATTTATTGTATCAGGACATCGCTCTTTTATTTGTGTGTATTGCTAGTTAGTATTTCCTAGTCAAGCATTTGTTTTGCTTTTTTTTTATAAATCAAATATCTACTTAGTTGTAAGTTTCCTTTGCATGTAATTACTAATAAAAATTAGGGTTTGTGAAGAGTGAATAAATAAATATGTAAATAAATTCCTTTACTGGCGCGTTTACTATGAAAACGCATGGAAAATATGGGAAACTTGCAATGTTTTTCTGGAATATGATTATGAGAATCTAAATTAGGTATCACTATTTGGCTTTGTGAAATAAGCTCACTTTGAATGTCCATATTAAATCGTTCTAGTACCTATTAAGTTAATGAATAATAATTGAGAAGTACCTAGGTAGGGTCAGTAAAAAATAAAGCACACTATTGCAACCCCGTTTCGCTTATATTTTGATATTGAAATGCAAAAATTAAACCGGTTCGGCACTCCACATTTGGTTTTCTACTGTTTCTCAACTGTAGTCAATTGTGCCCGTTTTGTGCTCAATTGTGCCGGTATTTATGCGAATTGTGCTCATTTTCATACACAAAAAAAACATTGAAACGAATCCGGGGGGCCAGCTTGACTCCAGCCCTTCGTTTTTTTGACTTTTTGGCAATATGTTTGGCTAATTGATAAACAAAAGCAAACAAACTCGTCTTTCTAATTAGCAATTAGCCAACCACTCAAGCCTCAAGGACACAAGCTTTTGAAGTCTGCTAATTTTAAAATCAATAAATTAATTACAAAATACAGTTTTCAAAGGAAATAACCTCAAAATAACAATTTTTCACGTTTGAAAATGCAAGGATAGTGCACTGTCATAAAAAACACAAACCGATCAAGGACTGCGTGACGTCATTCGCATACCGCCATCTTCGATGTTTTTATGAACGTTTGTCTTATGGGATTGAGCAATCCTGTAGAGTTTACGATTCTTGGGCTTATGTCACATGCGCATTTTCACCGATGTATTGCTGTCCTTGTCATTTGACAGCAGCAAAACAAGGATAGGTGGTCCATAAGGAGAAATGCGCAGAAGCAATTGATGAATTTAAAAACTTGCCTAACCATTTTCCGTCAGGATTCTGCTCAAATCTCTTGTGTAGAATAGAGATGCGCACGATGTTTCAAAAACATCGATTTTTTCTCGATGTTTATTCGATATTATTAAGGTGGCTATTCACTACATGATACTTGGCAAGTAACTTGACTTAAGCCTAGTACTCATAACTGCGAAATTCGCATTTTTTTGACATTGCGTTGACAAGTTGACGTTTCATGCGTGTATCAAACGTCAAATTGTCGAAGCAATGTCAAAAAAATGCGAATTTCGCAGTTATGAGTACTAAGCTTTAGGGAGGATTTTCATGCATCCGTTTTTCCGTCGAAATATGTCCGTTTGACATTCTATTCTGACATATTTATATACGATTATGTCAGAATAGAATGTTAAACGGACATATTTCGACGGAAAAACGGATGCATGAAAATCCTCCCTTAAGCCTAGTACTCATAACTGCGAAATTCGCATTTTTTTGACATTGCGTTGACATTTTGACGTTTTATGCATGTATCAAACGTCAAATTGTCGAAGCAATGTCAAAAAAATGCGAATTTCGCAGTTATGAGTACCAGGCTTTAGGGAGGATTTTCATGCATCCGTTTTTCCGTCGAAATATGTCCGTTTAACATTCTATTCTGACATAATCGTATATAAATATGTCAAAATAGAAGACTTTTCGGACATATTTCGACGGAAAAACGGATGCATGAAAATCCTCCCTCAAGCCTAGTACTCATAACTGCGAAATTCGCATTTTTTTGACATTGCGTTGACAATTTGACGTTTTATGCGTGTATCAAACGTCAAATTGTCGAAGCAATGTCAAAAAAATGCGAATTTCGCAGTTATGAGTACTAGGCTTTATGCGTGTATCAAACGTCAAATTGTCGAAGCAATGTCAAAAAAATGCGAATTTCGCAGTTATGAGTACTAGGCTAAACTCCGGTCCAAAAACTGGAATGCGAACACATATTGACAAACGTGAAGCCTAGTGTTGCTGCTGCGGAGGGGATACCTGTTTTTGTCGCACTCATTATGTTAAATGGCGGAAATTGCTTCCAACACGTATTCCAATTGATGAAACCTGTGAAGGTAAATATGACAAAACTTTCCAAAACCTCATGTCAGCGAGCAACAGAAAAAAACAACATTCCCCTTTGTGGCATCTGTCTTTCATGGCTACATTTTTTTGGCAGATATGGCAATGTGTGCGCATTCCAGTTTTTGACTATAGTTCATTGGTTTGTGCAGATTGTTTTTTTATTTATCAAAAATGAAAGAGAATCAAAACTATATTTTTTAAAATGTTCAATCTTGAGATATAAGAAGAAATAAATAAATAAATAGCCACCCACGGATGTGACAGCTGACAGGTTGACGCGTACGTACAGGGCTGAGTACAGAAATAACGCATACGGTGCGAGTGCGATTTTATGGGTGTGCCTGAATTGACAATTGGCCATTGGGCCCATAGCACAGTCTAACATTTTTGAACAGCTAGGGCGTCGCACCGGTGTCACACTGGGTGTGTGATTCCTGAACTCGCCCCAGCTCGGGAGCTCAACGCCCTGCGTATCTCCGGGCGTCACACTCCCATACTGGAAAGCGGCTAAGGAATACATAAATGCTGTATGGAATTCGGGAAGTTCAAGTCGTCGTGAACGCAAGCTTGTGATTGAATGTGTTGGTGGATTAAGGCGGTTACACACGGGCGTGGATGGCTTGATACATATACGTGCATACATCAACGTGCAAACAAAAACGTGCATGACGCCTTTGTACAGACGAGACGCTCGCACAAAACTGTATTCTTGCTATTCTTGCTACAGTGTTCCGAGTGTGCATAAAAAATTTCTAGCGATTCCACATTCAAAAACGCGACGGTATTTTGCATACACATTGATGTTTTTGTTTGTGCGTTCATGTATGTGCGTACATGTTTTCAGGCATCCACGTCCGTGTGTAACCGCCTTAAAGGCGGTTACACACGAGCGTGGATGGCTTGATACATATACGTACATACATCAACGTGCAAACAATAACGTGCTGGCGTCTTTGTACAGACGCTCGCACAAAACTATCAAAACTGCAGTCTTGCTACAGTGTTCGGAATGTGCATACAAAATTTCTAGCGATTCCAGAATTCACTCCAGCGTCATTCTACCGCTTGCACATTCAAAAACGTAACAGTATTTTGCATACACATTGATGTTTTTGTTTGCGCGTTCATGTATGTGCATACATGTTTTCAGACATCCACGTTTGTGTGTAACTGCCTTTTAATATTCATCGAGTCCGAGAGTGATAATCGTATTCAGGCTGCAGCATTTGTGTGTGGCCTTTTTTTAAATATTAAAAAAAATAAAATAAAAAAAGTTTCTGAATATTGCGTTTAACAATTCTTTTTTCCTAAAATCCGCAATAGGAATTTCTTCAAAAAACTCGGCTTGAACACATTTGCAGGCATCGTGGACTTCGTTTATATTTTTGTGCTAAGCAAGACATGCGTAGCTTCCCAAATAACAGGATCCTTTGCATATAGATATCCAGAAAAACCAAAACCCTTCCACAACTCCACTCCAATTCAACCACAAACAAAACAATAAAAACTTGTCGCGACTTATACCGAGTGATGTAGCGCTTCGACTTGCCTACTTGCCATACTTGCCATTTGCTACTCACTTGCGCCCCTTGACTTGCGACCGCGACGATTTACCGACAGCCAACGGCAAGTTCAAGTCTCGACTTGAGCATAGGCCAGTCTTCATACACATTACTCGAAACTTGGCAAATACTTGGCAAGTATCATGTAGTGAGTAGCCGCCTTTAGGGAACATCGATATTTTGCGAAGTTTTCTTTTGATTACCAATTTTTATTTGTAGCGCTTTCGACTTTTGCCTCAAAGCTGCACCCGACTAATCAAAAAGCGATCCGAAACGGATTCAGATGTGACTAAACAGTAGCGTTGCTCTCGGCGAGATTCACGTGTTCGATTTGAGCAATAGAACTCTCGGAACATTCCCGCAGAGATCTGTGACGTCACTGCCCAGACGGGTAGCGCTCTGGGGAGCAGTAAAAGAGAGTTCTCGTGCTGTCCAAATTTCAAAAACCGTAACCTTATTTGACAAGTATGACAGTTCTTACGGTTAGCGTTACAGTGGCTAAATAAACCTTTACATACAGTGGCGACAATAGAGGTTCCGCCGCCATCTTGTTCCCACTCTCTTGTTACTTTTAAATATTAGTATATAGGATTTAAATCGACATCTATCATAAAAAATTGAAATCGACGTATTTGATGACCATTATTAGGTCCATCAAATACGTTGTTTTCCATGATTTATGATGGATGTTCACCTAAATCCCATATATTCATATTCAAAAGTAACAAGGGATTGGGAACAAGATGGCGGCGTTTTTAATATAAATATATG